GTTTACTCGAGCGCTGCGCCCCATCCCCCCGCACACGGAGGGCGGCGCTGGAGCGCAACCCCAGAAACTTCTGCGAGGGGAGGCGGCATCCCGGGGATGCGAGGGCGGGGGTCGGCGCGGGGCTGGGCCGGGGGCTCCGCGCTGCCTTCCCGCCCAGGCGAGGTCGCGGGTGTGACACCGCCACCCGGCCTTGTGCACGTCCCCTCGTGATCGGTCTCCACCGCGGAGCGCCTGCGGGCGGGCACCGCACCTTCTCTGCTCGCCGTCCCCACGCGGGCTCCGCGGACACTGGGGCCTCCGGAGACTGCGCGTTCGTTTGTTTCATTCGGAAGGTTTCGGTGGAGCGGAGATCTGGGCGCTAATGCCCTGTGTTCTAGAACCCCACGGAAGACCTATTTTCTGTTGTGCGCTTTTTGTTTTTGTTTTCCTTTCCGAATAACAGCATCTCTTTTGACTTTTCGGGGTGCGTTCCATGGACCTCAGTTTCCCCATCTGTAAAATGAGGACGTTGATCAAGATGATAGGGCTTCTTCATTCCACTGGAAACCGGTTCTTCCTTCGTTTTAATCAGTGTCCGGTGGTTTTCTGCATGCCTCTTTCACCCACTCTGGGGGTCGCTGATTTTATTCTAAGTTTCGGGTACCTCCACCCCTCTGTGATACCTCACAAGTCCAAAACTTACTCTGTGCATCTTCACCTTGAAGAAGTAACTCTAGGAATCGAGTGTTGTAGAAATTGAGGTTTAACTTTCTTTTGGTCATTTCAAAACAGCTCTGTGGCTTCTTTTTAATGTCACCTTTATTAACTGGTCAAGGCTCAGGAATAGTTTTATGAGTTTTTTTGTTCTCGATTTTTGGCGTCTGTCATGAACTCTCAAGTCAAACCTCCAGCGGGGCCTAAGAAAACTTCGGTGGTTGACAGTCCTGCATATCTGAAGCTGATTATGTCCCATGGACTGTCAGCAAGCTTTTCTGAGAGGCTGGAGCTCCAGGGGGAGATTCTGGGGAGTGGGGGTGGATTGCTGACCGTGGGATGATGCAGAGGTTATATATTTAGAAAATAACTATGAAGCAGTGGACGGACCCTCAAGAGTGAATGATGCAGTACAGACTGAGAACCAAATGCTGAGTTTGTTTTTATCTAAAATGGTGACTGCCTGTGTTGGACACAATGACGAGCTTTAAAATGTTGTCAGCTCAGGCACATGTTAAATCTATTTTAAAAAGAGTAGGTGCTTCTCTCTTGTTCTAAAACACTGCTGTCAGTTTTCTCTTTTTTTCCCTCTCTTTTTTTTTTCTTTTTAAGTTTCCTCTTTCTGAGTGTAGATTCCTGTTTACAGCCATCATCAAATGTCACTTCCTGAGTTGCGAACTCCTGGGAAACGTTTTATCACCGGCTGAATTCATTTTCAGAGTTAATTTTTGGCTCAGTTTTTACTTATTAGGTCAGGGCCTCCTTTAGGGCGTTGATCCTGACTTGCTTGTCCGTCATTTCCATGGCTTTACGGGTAGCAAAGCTGGAGGATTCTGTGACGAAATTTGTTTTGTGTGGTGCGTTGGACAGCTGGCCTTAACGGCTCTTCGGATTCCCTGTGTAAGCTGTCGGAGGTCACCAGAAGTGAGGGCTTTTTAAAACTTTTCCTATTTTAATGCAAACAATAAAAGTACTACTAGTTCTATTTCTCCTACACGGGAAACTAGGGGATTATAAAAATGGCCACGTCGACTCTCAAGTAGCCTCTGACGAGTTTTCTAGGACTTCATCTTCACAGCTGTCCCTTCGGTCATTAGTGCCACTGACCCTCTTCCTAAAGGGATAGATTTTACGTTTCTTCAGAGAGTTCCAGGGACGACAAAGGTGTGAACCGTGCCTGGTTGGAAGGCGCAGCAGTGAGGCTGACTTCCTTTCCCAGCTTCTGGTTGCCAGCCTGGGTTCCTGAGCAGTTATTAGCTTTTCGTGTCTTTGGCAAGTGCCACCCTAGAGTCCGGAGTCAAAGGGACCTTTGTGCGAAACAGCCGGTCAGACAGCCCGCGCGCGAGCAGATCGCCTCTGGGTTCGGTCCGGGTGCTGCTTCTGTGACTCTGATTTCTGAAAGGCACCCAGTTCCCAGCAGCCGCGATGGGAGTCACTTCACAGCAAGCACGTTCGTTTTCCTAGATTGGCAGGAAGAAGCGTTAGGCTTTCCCCGAGTCCAGCGAGAAGCAGAACAGCAGCTTCTCCCCGCCTGTGACCGAGAACTTGCAGCCTCAGAGAGTGGAAGAAGACAGTGGTGACGAGTTAGCGTGCCCTCCCCCGTGTGGGTCAGTAGGGCGGCGTTTGGGTTTGGATGGAGTTCAGCTCGGGAGCCTAGGAGGAGCAATGTGTCGCTTTCTTTCCGAAGGCGGAAAGCAGAGCGCTTCCTGCTGCCGGGATTGTGAGTTTTACAAGGACGTCGATCGCACCGTCCTGTTGAGACTGTTTAGTCTCTTAAGTGCCAGGGGCAGTTCAAGTTGGATCCTCAGCTTTGCGGTTTATCCTTTTTTTTTTAAAAGAAAAAAAGGTCACGTCAGTGGCCATGCCACCCTGAACGAGCCCGATCCCGTCTGACCTCGCACGCTAAGCAGGGTCGGGTCTGCTTAGTACTTGGATGGGGAACCACCTAGGAAGACCAGGTGCTGTAGGCGTAAAAAATAAAAAAATAAGGGACTGTAAGCTGACAAGATCCTTGCAATCTCTGAGGCCAACCAAGGGTTGCCTCACTTAAAAAAAAATAAAAGTTAAAAATAAAATATTCTTTAAAAAACACCCCCGTTGGTGCCACGCGGTGCTCAGGCAGCGGACCCCATCCAGCCAGCCCTGCTGGCCACTTCTCCCCCACACGCAGCCCGGGGCTCCTTTCCACCTGGGCGAGGTAAGTCCTGTGGTTCTTGCGTGAGTAGGAGGAGAGGCTTTCGGTTTTCTTCTGTCCCTGGTGGAAGGCTGAACAGGGTAGTCGGGGGTGGGGTCTCTAACCCGGCTGTCTGGGTGCCGGTGGGGCCCGATGACAGAGCATCACCTGGCTCATTTTGGAGGAGAGGTTTTCCTGTCATGGTACCAGGTGGCCCATCTCTGGTCCTGACACCTGCTCCCACTGCACGTTACCATCTTTGAGCATGCCTCTCCGAGCGGGGTCCTGCGTCGTGACGTGTCCTGCACGTGCTGTGTGTGTGTGTGTGTGGCGGGGGGGCTATTGCAGTGTCGTGAGCCCACTTTCAGTATGCGTGACTATAAGGGGAAGGAGGGGAGCCCCTTTTAATAATCTGCCCTCAATACCTTTCTCCTGAGTGGAGACGAAGCCATTCCGTGGCAGTGCCTGCCACACCTGGGGCGGCTTCTCGCCCAGGTTCTGGTTTGACAGGAAGTTTGGAGGCAGGGTTGAAACAGGTCTTGAGTCGGAAGTAGTTAAGGTTGAGGGTGTCGCCAGTCTAGTGACCCTTGCAGCCTCTGCTACCACCTACCTTCCTCCATCAGCCACTGGGAATGTGGTCGGGAGCTGTGACCACGTTGCCAGGTAGAGACTGTGCTGTCCCCACGAGGTGGTCCTGCGTGAACAGACCCCGGGCCTGGCCACCCTGCCTTTGGTCTCGGTGGCAGCTGCCTGTGCTCAGCGTGGCGCAGCCGTGGCCACGTGCATCAGGTGGACAGACTAGGAAGGTCCCTGGTGCAGGCACTTGGCTGTCGCCTTTGGCATGTGGAGAGAAACGCTTGGGGGCTCCTCACTGACTCCCCCTTGTCCACAGTTTCTCTGGACCTCCTGGTCTCTGAACTTCGCTCTCAGTGGCAGAGTCAGGATGGGCGGGGTAGTAATTAATTAACTAGGATCTCCCACACTTGGGTGACCTGGCTGATGGCAGCACCCCAAAGAACAGCATTCACGACCGGGAATAACTCGATGAGAGTCCCGACGAGGTGAAGCCCCCCGGGGTCCTGGACATGCCACCGGACAGCGACTGCGAGGCCCGGCTGGGGGCATAGGTGACGATGCCCCTGGGCCCTGCGCCCCGAGTGCCACCCCTGTCTGTTCCCCACCGCTGGGCCCTGCCTGGCGGTGCTCACACGGCTGCGTCCTGCCTGGGCCGTCCCCAGGCGCTTGGCTGCTCGAGGGTCTGCTCTCCTGCCGTCCTGCCCGCGAAGTGGGGTGTGTGTGAGGCAGAGTCCCCGCCGCTGGAGGTGTCCGGCCTCCGACGGGCTCCGGGCCCGGAGACTTGTGGCTGGAGGAGCCGGTTCCGTGACTCGGGAGGCTCTTGCCGTGAGCGTGTGGGGCGGTGTGTTCTCCGCGTCCTCAGTGGCGACTCACACCCTCTTCTCAATTACGTGCTTCCTTCGCGTTCGGTGACCATGCACCTGCACGCGTGTCGTCTGTTTTTAACATTTCAGGTGGTCGAGGCGTCGTCGTTAAGCTGGAGCACCAGAATCAAAGGCTTCGCTGCGTGTTTTGTTGCAGGAATTGTCTGCTCACTGCTGGTAAGATGCACCCCCTCGTCTCCGGCCCCCCGCCCACCTCTCTCCCCTTTTCTCCGGGCTCCTCCTGAGTGCCTGGTCGGAGGGCGGGGAGCTCGGGCGGGGAAGGGCACAGGGTCCTCCGCTGTCCTCACGGGGCTTTGTCTTCCAGGGGACTCTTCTGCTCTGGGTGCCCAGGAAGGGGCTGTACCTCTTCGCGGTGTTTTACACCCTTGGGAACATCGCATCCATTGGGAGGTAACAGCTCTTCATCAACTCGGCCCGTTGCCGGGCGGGAAGGCGGACGAGGCTCGTGCGTGACGGGGGAAGGCGGTGCCTCGGTGGTTTTAAGGGTTTGGAGAGAGAAAAGTAGTAGAAATACATCCCATCCGTGTCCCGTCACTTCAAAGTATTTTTGTGCCTTAGTCTTTGACATGTCCCAGGAGCAGGCAGGAGATCCATTCCCACTGTGACTTTACGTGTGAGGGACCCGTGCACGTGGCAGTCGAGTGATGTCGGGTGACAGCACAGCCCTCTCCGTTGCTCTCGTCTGACAGCTGCCCGGGGCTGAGTCAGCGATTCGAGAGCGGCCCACCGGGCCAGGGGCTGCAGGCGAAACCTGTCATTCATTACTCAGTGTGCAGTTGCCCCAGACCTGCATGTGGGCTCACGAGGGCTGGCGGCTGGGGGAGCCTCGTGCAGGTGCGGGCCGCCCGCCCCACGAGCTGCAGGCGCCTAGACGTGGCGGGTCGGGCTCCTTCCCTCTACGGCTTCCTCCACACCCGCGTGCGACAGCCTCCGTCCTGCCCCAGCCGGGAGAGCTGCTCTGGCCTGTCCCTGAGTGGCCCGCTGGCCCCGAGCTCAGCCACCTTTTCTCCCCTTCTGCTGTGTCCCAGGGAGTGGCCGCAGGGTCCCGGGTGTCCAGGCCCCCGCATCATTACTGAGGCTCGGTGTCGACCTTGCCGACCCCTTCCTCTTTGTCCCCATGGCTCTTGTCCCTCACCGATGGACTCTCATGCGAAGTGGGTGGGCCTTGATCACACCCGGCCCGGTTCTGAGGACTCACAGACCGACGTGAGCGGATGACATGATAGGATGTGGAGGGAGATGCTCGGGGAGGGGCAGCTGACCCGACCCGGGCCAGGGCGGGCTCCCCAGGGCCGTGGTGTGGGTGCTCTTAGCTCTGGCCCCTCGCTCCTCGTCTGGATGACTGCCGCAGTTCCCTGCGGGGTCCTCTGCGGGGTCCTCTGCCTCCTTCATCGCCCCTCTGCAGGCCGCTTGTTACTGCCCTGCCGAACCCCCTGGCTGGCTCCTGGTCCCCTCTGCAGGGGACCCGTCAGCGTGGGTGCAGGCGGGGCCCTTGACCCCGCTCCCACCAGCGGGCCCCGGCCAGGCCGAGCTCCTGCCTGCCCCAGACATCTTTGTACCTCTGCTCAGCCTGCGTCCTCTGCGTGGAGTGCTGCCCATGTGCACCCCCTCTCCATGACCCCCCCACACCCCAGTCAGCAGTCACCCCTTCTGTGAAACGCCTCCGAATTCCCTCCTCTGCTCCAGAATCTGTGGCCTTTTTCATATGGGGCTCTGCGTATCATTTATATTTGTGACAGCATACAGCATTTTATTACTCTGCCTTGCTACAGATCTGTAAGCCGCTTGACAAGGGCTGTACCACTGTGTTGTCCCGAATTGTCCCCAGTCCCAGCTCTGTTTCTGGCTGGCAGCGTTAGCCAAACGACTGGGTGTGTGACTTTGGCCATCTTCTTAAAGGAGAATTTGTTAGAGCTAGTGACGATGAAATGCTGGTCCCCAGAGATGTCTCTTCCTGCCTCTAAGGCTCTCACACGCACCGACTTTTGGGGACTTTTGCATTGGGCACACGGTGTAGGTTATAATGCGGCGTCTAGACCGAGCGTAACGTACAGGTGAGTTGTGTAGTCCGAGAGAGCCATGAGCACATTCTCATGGGGCCGACTGCAGCATTGCCTAGGGAACATGAGAGGGAGCGGCGTGTTATTTCCAGGGCGTGTCTAGGAGCTCATGGCTTTACCAATAATCTTCCGTTTCTGTACACGTGGTCTTGGCTATTGCTTCTCGTTTGGCGTTGGCTAAAGAGGGCACTCAGCTCGAACACTTGACCTGAGAGTGCAGCTCTGAGTTCAAGTTGAAACCTAATGGCACTTCAGAGAGAGGCGGATTTATTTTTAAAACCTGTTCTTATTCAGCACTCAGTGGCTAATGTTATCTGCTGCTTGGCTTGTATCAAAGCTGCCAGCAGGGTGATGTCACACGGGGCATCTCTGTGAGGGGGCGGGCGACACGCTGAAAATCTGGCCCAGGCACTCGGGGTGGTCGGCACGAGGTTCTCACTGGCCACCTCTCAGGATCCAGTTACGTCGAAGGCACGTGGGGCTGTCGCCGGCTTTGGAATCTAACAGCCGTGGCTTCGAATGCCGACTCCTGTGTGCCTAGCTGAGTGATCTCGGATGTGTCAGTTAACCGTTCTGAGCTTTTACCTTCTCGTCTCTGAAATAAGTGTAATCCTGCCCGGCTCACAGAGTTGCCGGGGGTGACTCGAGGCCGGGTATGCGGTATCTGGCGTTCAGCAGACATTCAGCAGTTCTGAGGTGACGGTAATGTCACCAGCAGAATGTGAGGGAGAGTGAAGTGCTCTGCTTTTTAGCATAAACAGCCCAGGCCTTCACGGGACGCGTGCGTGTGTGTGCGTGTGTGTGCGTGTGTGTGCGTGCGCGTGCGTGCGTGTGCGTGTGAGACCTGCATGCATTTACAGCCCAGCTCTGCCATTTTCCAGTTATGTGGCCTTGGATAGTGACTAAGCCGTCTGCGCTTCAGTTTTCTCATCTGTAAAATGAGGATGATAATTGTCCCTCGATCAACCCCGTGAGGTGTCGATGGATTAAACGGCTTCCGGCGTTAGCGGCGTTGCCGCTGCTGTTGGCACAGGTGGTCCGGGGGAGGCGGCGTGGCGGTCCCAGCATGCTCCTGGCCTGGTCTCAGTGGCTGGTGTGTGTTTGCCTCGCAGCACCGTCTTCCTCATGGGACCCATGAAACAGCTGAAGAGAATGTTTGAGCCCACACGTCTGATCGCGACTATCATGGTGCTGGTAAGTCTGCCTGTCGCCGGACCTCTGAGCTGGGGGCGGCGATTTCTGCCGCCCAGAACGGTTTCCTTTGTGTTTGGGACATGGGGGCGTTGCAGGGTGGGTGTCAGGATGCCGCAGTTCTACAGAGTACCTCCAGAGGGCGCTGCTGGTCAGCCGTGCTGAAGGTGG